CCCGTAATAATGATGATGATGGTGATGATGATGATGATGACGATGATGATGATAATTATTCGAGCGACTTTGACGCATTTTTCAAAAATTATAGTTTTAATGTCGGATTGAAAAATTCTTTTGAAAATAATTCGTTAAAAACCTGAAAAATTTATTAAATAATAATAATAATAATAATTGACACGAGTATTAGCACGAGTATTAACACGTGTCGGTAACTTAACACACAAAAAATGACAGAAAAAAAAATTTTTTTTTAAATAAAATTTATATCGAAAACGATTTACATAAAAAAAAAATTCTTCCATAAACCTATTTATTTATTTATTTATTATTAAATTTATTAAAAAATAAAAAGGTACATGGTGGTCGTAACCTACATAAAAAATAAATAGTTAATAAATAAATAAATAAGTATAAATAAATAAATAATTTTTTTTTAAATTAAAGACTTCTTTTTCTTCTTTACTAAAAATAATAAAAAAAGGTAAAAATTTTATTTTTTTATTTTTTTTTTTTTAATGAAAATAACAACAAAAACAACAACAACAAGAACAACAACAACAAACTTTGTTATTTCGTTCAATCATAAAATTAAATTTTTTTTTTTTTTTAAGTGAAAAAAAAAGGCAAAAAAGTAATAAAAAAAAAAAAAAAAGTTGAAAAACTAAATTATTATTTTACATTAAATAAAAAACCACCTGAGTTTTTGTTTTTTAGGAGAGAGAGAGAGAAAAAAAGTTTGCTAAGGTAAAAAAAAGAAAAAGAAAGAAAATAAAAAAAATGGATTCTTAAATTTTTATTTAAAAACAAAATGAAAAAAGAGATAAAACGGACGCGCCATTTTGAAAAGTTCCATCTTGATAGTTATTGTTACCATAGACGTAAAAATCCTACGAACGAAGTCAACCATAATTAATTTAAGGTTTGCGTGTCGCGCGCACTCTATGACAATAAAATTCAAAAAATTTGTTTAATATTTTTATTATTTATCTCTGTGGTAAAAATCCAGCGGGAAAATTTTTTATTTGTTGTTGTTATTTATTTTACGCAAGAAAGTTTTTATTTTTTATTTTTTACTTTTTTGTGGTTTATTTAAATTAATTAAAGACGGGGAAATAAGGAAAAAAAAATTAAAAGTAATTAAAATGACCGCATATCTATTTATTTTCGACACAGAGGTTAATTATTTTATTTCTTTATTTATTATTAATAACATTCACTTTTTTCCATTTGATTTTTTTGCGTGCGTGCGTGCGTAAATGTAAAATGGCGGATTTTTTATTTATATTCCATCCCTTTCCCCCCTTTTTTCATTTCCTTTTTTTTTCTTTTTTTCTTTCTTTTAAGAACGTTTTAGACGGAATGATTTTAGGTTTTATTATTGGCGGATTAATCGGTTGCGTGCAGGGATTGGCGGATTCAAATGTTTCGTATAAAACAGTAGGAAATTCAATGTATAAATCATCATTAAACGGTGCCATTATTGGCGGTGTTGCACTTGGTATTATAGGTGGTATAAGAACAGTTGAAAAAACTGTCGAAGCAAGAACCGTTTAATATAAAGGTACACAATACAAACCAAATATAAAGGAATTTCCTAATAATAATAATGATAAAATTTCAAAAGGGGTTGATTTCATCATGAGTAAGAAAAATATATCGGAAAAATTTTCTTTATTTTTTATTTTTTCCAGGTGTTTATTTTATGTATTTTTTGTAAATAATTTTTTTTTTTTTAAATATAATTTTAATTAATACGTCATATAAATAAATAAATAATCAAAAAAAAAAGAAAAAAAATCGATAAATTTCTTTGATCGTAAAAAAGAAAAAAAAAAGAAAAAAAGAAAGAAAGAAAGAAAATGAATGCATACACGAATGAAAATGTTAGTAAGAAAATTTTATTACGTCATCAAGTTGTATTAAATTGTTAATGAATAAGAAATTTAATGATAATAATAATGATAAATGATGTGTTTTCAGGTGTAGTTAATAGAGGAGATTCATTTAGGAGGAGGAGATCACGTAGTAACAGTTTAGCACCCCCGGGTTTTTCACCACAACAACAACAACAACAGGAAATATCAAACACAACAAATTTACCTGTAGTCCCTCCTCCCCCACCTGAAATAACAACATATAGAGTGGCTTTAGTCGGAGCACAGGGAGTTGGAAAAACGGCATTAATTTCACAATTTATGACGTCTGAATGTATTAACGCTTACGACAGAAGCCCACTGTGAGTTTTTAATTTTTTCTTTTATTAATAATAATAATGATGGGGCCTTAACCTAAAACTAAAATAATAATAATAATCCGAAATAAAAAAAAAAAAAATTTTAAAGTTAATTAAACGATTTCGTTTGTTTTTTACATTTCAAACTTTCGACCCAGTTGGCAAAAAAATTTGTTCGCAATTTTTTTTTGCGTTCGTTGGTGTTTATTCTCGCAAAAATTAGATCGCAATATATATATTTTCGTTTTGTTTGTTAAATATCTGTTAAGTTTCACTCGACAGGAATTTGAAAAAAAAAAAAACAAAAAAAAAAAAAAAAGCTTTTGCTGATTTTTTTATTCATCATTAGGTATTCGCCATTATGTAAATTTTAATATAGACTTACTTTCCCATTTTGTGTTTTTATCACTTAATTAAAATATAAATCCCAATTTTGTTACCGGATCTCATTGATGTTTGTCCACAAAAGAAGGTTTTTATAATAATAATAATAAATGTTTAAAAACATGAACACAAAGGAATCGATTATTATTTTCAGATGAATCAAACCAACAAGTCGTGTCGATTATGTTAAATGGTGAAGAATCCGAATTACATTTTGAAAATATACGAAATTCGAAAATTCAAATACGTAAAAGTGATCCACAAAATGCATTCGTCGTTTTATATTCTGTTATCGATAAAGCGAGCTTTCAAAAAGCGGAAACGGAATTGAATAGACTCGTCGATTTAGATTTGCTAAGAACGAGGCCGGCCATATTAGTTGCTAATAAAATTGATTTAGCAAGAAGCAGAGCTGTATCGGCTCAGGGTAAGTTTTTCTATTTATTTCCTCTCTTTCCCTTCCCCCCTTCCCCCTCCTTCCCCTTCTCCCTCCCTGTTTCGTGAGAGAAAGAGAGAGACTATATACGTGCATGCAATATTTGGATTAATCACGATTGACGATAGCAAAAAAAAAAAAAGGGATAGTGCAATTAGCGGTTGATCATCCAAAAAACAAAAAAATTAACGAAAAATTAAATTAGGTTAAAATTTTTATTTTTTTTGCTACGGTTTACGTGTGCTTCCTACCGCCCCCCCCCCCCGTCACCGTAGCAAAATCCTTTCGATGTTTTTTCAAAATTTTTTTCCCCTCGAAATTTAAATCACGGAATTTTCAACATGTTTTTTATTTTTATTATTTTTTTTTGCACGCGTTTGCGTGTGTAGGTGTGCGTGTTCGTGATTATTTTTTTATTTCGATAGCAAAAAACAAGAAAAAAGAAAAAAATTCGAATCAATTAAAATAATTATTTGAATAGAAGCAAAACTTTTTTTATTTAAAAAAAAGTCATTACATTGATTACGTGTAACGGCGATTATTTTTTTTTCCCCCATTCAATGGAAAATTTTTTTTTTCCTTTTTTCCATTTTTCCTTTTGTCTTTGTATCCGCCTCCGTCGTTTCCGCCTTAATTTTTACCTAATTTTATTTGAATCACGTGTAAAAATAAAAATTTTTTTTTTTTGCGTTTTAATTAATTAATTAATTAATTAAAATCAGGTACGTTGTAGTCGTTGTCATTGTTAGGTGTGATAAATGATTTTAATAAGGAATATTTGCGTTTAAAAAAAAAAATGAGAGAGAGAGAGAGAGCGAGATGAGGAAAGGGAAGTGAAAAAAAACCGGAAATAATATGTCAAAATTTTTTTTTTTTTTTTTTACCTTTTTCCTCGTGGTAAAAATCATAATTTTTTGTTTAAAAGTCATACGTTAAAGTTTTTTTTCCTCATTTTCCCCTTATTATTATTATTATTATTATTATTATTATTATTATTATTATTAAACGAAAAAAAAAAAAAAAGGAAAACTGGAAAAAACTTTTCGGTCGGATAATTTTTTTCTGTTTTTTAATTTTTAATTTTTTTGTAGTAAAAAATTAAAAACTTTTTTTTTTTTTTTTTAATAAACCCTTAGAAAAAAAAGGAAAAATTTCAATGGGTTTTCCTCCATCCCTCATCCAATTAAAAACGTTTTTCCTTAAACTTTTTTTTTTTTTTTTTTTTTCTACGGTTTGTTTAAACCGAAATTTTAAATACAAAACAAAAAACCCTCTCGTACTGTTTTTTTTTTTTTTTTTTAAATAATAAACATTATCATAACACATTGTTAAAAGGAAAGAAAAAAAAAAATTTTTAATGACGTCACAAAGTGAAATTTCCCCTTTTAAAGTGACGTCACGTATTTACATGTCACTTGAATCTGTGAAAGTAAATGAAAAGCTTTTTCCGAAAATAGAACATTTTATATAGTCTGAAAGAAAACGTCTAACGTTTTAAAAACCAGCAATTAATTTAAGACAACAGAATGAAATTTTTTTTTTTTTCTTTCGTTTTTCTCTTTCCCCCCCCCACTCCCCCTCCCTCCTCCTCTTATCATTATTATATATATATTTTAAATGGGGATAACTCGAATGCGAGCGGCCATTTTTGTTTTTTTTTTTCTCTCTCTCTTTTTCTCTTTCTCAATAATCTTAAAAATCCCCATTTTCGACAAACGACCGTTTAAATGAAAGGTTTATCGAGAGAGAGAGAAAGATTATTTAAAAAAATCGTTTTTGTTGTTCCTTTTTATTTTTTTTAAACGTTCATAAAAATAAAATAACGGTTATAATAAAAAAGGATAAGCGATTTATAAAAAAAATTAGATTTTTTAACAACGGTTTTTTGTTTTTTTTTAAATTTTTAACGCGAGGATTATTATTATTATTTAAAACGGGATTTTTTTTTCGTTTCGGGAATAAAATAACTTTTTCATCGCATTTTTAATTTTATTTACTTTTCGAATTAAATAATTAATTAATTAATTTTTTTTTCTTCTTATAATTAATTCATTTTATTAATAACGAAACGTCGACAAAATATTGTTTTACAAACTTGCGACAAAAATAAAAAATTTTAATTGGTTAAAAAAAAAGGAAAAATTTTATTCGTTCGGATATTTTTTTAAAAAAATTAATTATATATTCACAACGTTTAAACAACTTTATTAATTATTTAACGCATGATTTAATTTAAACGTTTAATTGTTGTGAATATTTATTTAATAATAATTTAATTTAACGGTTATTAAACAAGAATTTGAATGTTTGTCGTCGTCGTCATTCAATGGCGTCAAGGTCATCGAGGTTTTATTGTTAAATTAATTCTTTTGGAAATAATTACTTTATATTATTTTTTTTTTGTTTTAATGGGTAAATATAAAAAACCCTTACGACCGTTTTTTTATTTTTTATTCTTTAATTTTAAACCTTTGAAGTGATAAATTCTCTTTAATTAAAAAAAAAAAAAAATGGAATCGATTAATGCTTTCGAGTGGGCATCAACCAATTTGTAATAATTTTATTTTTAATCCGGTGACTTAACTTGTAATTAATTAAAATTTATTATTAATATTATTATTATTATCATTCCACACGATTTTCGTTATGACGAAAACGTTCAAAAGAATTCAAAAAAAAAAAAAAACAAAAGCGAAAGGTATTTTTCAAACATGGCGTCGCGAGTAAATCTCCATTGACTTGTAAAACATGGCGTACGTGAATAATAAATAAATAAAAGTGAAAGGTAAATGAAAATAAAATGTAATTAAAAATAGGGATTACTCGAAAAGTCCGAAACCTTTTTTTTTATTGTCATAAACCGAGGAAAAATTCATCATTTTGTTCATTTTAAACAACGTGTATAAATTTAAAAAAAAAGAAAAAACCGTTACGAAAATGGCGATTTAAAAAAAAAAGGGTTTCCAACCAACCGTCGTCATTTGAATAATGTTTGGAAAACCGAAAACGGTTTTTTAATTGAAATTTAAATATTTTTTCCCACACTTTAAATTGTTTTAAAATTATTATTATTATTATTTTTGTTTTCAGATGGTAAATGTTTAGCGTGTACGTTCAGAGCAAAATATATCGAAGTGTCCGTAGGTATAAATCACAACATAGACGAACTTTTAGTCGGAATATTAAATCAAATAAGATTAAAATTATCAAATGCAAAACTCGAAGATCCGGAATCGTCACAGGCACACTGGTACAAATCCAGGGGCGTAGTTAAAGCGAGCCTTAAAGCTAGGCAAATGTTCACGTGGTTGTTTGGAAAAGAAGACTCTAAATTTAAAAATTGTGAAAATTTACACGTGCTCTAATTTTTTATTTATTTATTAATTTTTTTATTATTTATTTATTATTTATTTATACGTAATAAGAGACTTGTTTTCTTTTTTTTTTTTTAAATATATAAATATTATTTAAATGTGGGAAAACGTGGGTGTGCGTGTGCGTGTGCGTACGCGCACGTGCACGTGCACACACACACACACACATGCTTGTATACATGAATAAAATTTTTTTTTTTTTTTTTAAATCGTAACCGTTAATGAACTTTATTACTCGATATTTATATAAATATATTATAACACAGTATAATATATATATTTTTATTATAATGATAATAATAATAATTTTAAATGTGAACGAATTAATTTATGAGTGTGAAAAGAAAAAAGAAAAAAAAATTTCCAAAAGATTTTTTTTTTTTAAATTGATTTCTATTGTTAATATGTCGTGGTCACGTTGTTAAGAACGAAAAAAATGGCGTTTAATTAATTAATTTATTTATTTATTTATTAAAAGAAAAAAATTTTCATTTGATTATGAACACACATAAACGCGTACACACGCCCGCACACACACACACACACTCGCGGATTTGCGTAAAAGTTAATTTAAAAATTTTTCATATGTAAAAAATCGTTCCCCCCCCCCCCCCGTTAAAACATATTATTATTATTATTATTATTTTGTTTATTAACTAAAATATCATCATTATTATTTTTTATATTGTTTAACGTGTAAAACCGTCCAGTTTATTAAAATTTTTCGTCCTTTATTACCGTTGAAATGAGAAAAAAAAAAAAATCTGCTGGAAATTTTTTTTTTTTTTTTTTGATGGAATGTATGAACTCATAATAATGATGATGATAATAATGATAAAAAAAAGTACAAATGTATAATTTATAACGAAAAAAAGTATATATATATATATATATATATATATATATATATATATATATATATATATATATATGAAAATAATATAAAGTGACAATAATTATTATTTTTTTTTTTTTTTGTTTCATATTTATAAAAAAAATGTTATTTAGTTCTTTTTAATAAGAAAAAAAAACAAATAAATAAATAAAATTTTCCTTTTGTCGTAAAGGAAAAATAAAAATAATGAATTTTTAATTTCCCGAAAAAATAAAATAATAATAAATAAAAAACTTACCCCAAAACAAACGACGAACTCCTTGTATATACATGAACGATTGTAAAATGGCCTCCGGTCGTGTTTGTGTGACGTCATTAATCACTTTTAAATTTCTGAACGCGTTTTTAAATTTTAAAGAAAAAAAAATTTGTTTTTCGAACACGTTCAATGAATGTATTTTTTCTTTCACGTTTTTATTATTATTATTATTTGTTTTAAAAAAAACGGTTTGGATTTCAAACGAATTTAAATTTTACAAATAATAAATAAATAAATAAATAAAACTTACTTACCCCGTTGTATTTTCTAACTAACTAAACAATTTTACATTTGTTTGTGTGTTTTTGCAAATGGCGTCGTAGAAAAAACAAAATGGCGGACGTCTTATGTCCAACATCGTTTACTTCTTACAAATTATTAAAATATTATTTATTTATTTATTTATTCAATACCTGAATAATTTTACTTAAAATCCCAACTATTTTTTATAAATACATAATAACGTTAATAATAATGATAATAAGTAAATAAATAAATAAATGTATGAATGAAATAAAATAATTATTAATTTATTTTTTTTTTTTAAATTTTAAATAAATACAAAAAATTAAATTTTGATAATAAATAAATAAAAATATACAATAATAATAATAATAATATTAATGATAAGGCAAGTGAAAGAAGGAAAGAAATAATGCAAAAAAAAAAAAAATGGCGGGGAGCGGGGAGAAAGGGGTAAAAAAGGCATTAATAAAACACTCTCATTTGTTTGAAATTTGTTTTCAACTTCTTCATCTTCTTATAAGCAATCATGTATCACAGATTAAAGTTGATTTAAACGATAATAATAATAAATAAATAAATAAGGTGAAAATCAAACGAAAACAGGTTCCAAAAGGTTAACATTTGAACCTCCCGGTGCTCTCGAACAAACGCAAGCATATTCGACGTCGATCAATTCAAATTCGAAATTTGATAAGAAATCATTTGTGACGTAAGTAACGTTAAGTTGAGTGTATAATTGAGTGCATTTGAAACCTCCTTGATTGGAACACTTGCATGAATCTTTTAAACAAATCACCTTATCAATCTTATCAGGAATCCTTTGATTGTTTATATCCGTTATAACTTTATATGAACAAATTGATGTTTTTTCTCTATCCCTTATCGGTACCATTGATGATGCGACTCTTCTATAAACGTGATGAATATTATCATTATTAATAAATTTCGTTTCGTTTAATCCCTTATATCCTACATTATTATTATTATTAATAGCTTTTCCGATTGTTTTAAAACTTTCGCAAATATCAAATAAAACATTTAATATTAATAATAAATAAAATAAATTATTATTAAAAAATTTTTTTCTTATCAAAATCGTTTGGTTTAAAACTTTTGAAAACTTCATTTTTGTCAAATGTTTTTTTTTTTTTCTCTTCAAATAAAAATTTAAAACTTTTAAACAAATTTAAATAATAATAATAATAAATAAAACTTTTTACAACTGATGTTTAATAACGACAGAAATTTTGTTTTTATATCATAACGATAATAATCGTTATGATTTTACTTTGACGTCATTATTCATTGTTTGTTCGTTCGTTTGTTTCCATTTTTCCATATGGCTTTCCAGATTAACTAAACATAGGTACAAGTTGTAAGGTAAAAGAATAAGGGGAGGAGGAGGAGGATGAGGATGAGGAGAAGGTATTTAAAAAAAAAAATTTTTAATTTCATCCGGAAATTTTTTTTTTTTTTATTGACGACATCATCATATTTACTCGGACAAATAATTAGGTTTATTTTTTTTAATGGAATCGTTCGAATTGTGTGTAATTGGCCATCATTTTTTTCTTTTTTCATAATTTTCGACGAGGAGTTGATTTGCGGGGGCGGGAAAAGTGGGGGAAGGCGGAGGAGAGGGTGGGAGAGGGAGGGAGGAAGGAGGTTTCAGTTAAAAAGAAAGAAACAAACTTTTATTATTTTTTTTCTTCCGTTCCGAAATCTCGCGGATTTTATCATTATTATCATTATTATTATTATTATTATTATTATTATTTATATTTAATTAAAATATATGCGCGTACGTGTAAACGATGGTGAATTCGCTGGAGTAAATTTTTTTACATGGAAGTGGGGAAAAAAAAAAATTTTTTTTTATTGTTCAACGATTTACGTGTTAAATTCTCCATAAATCCTAATTTTTAATTTCCTTTGACGTCAATTCGTTAAAGTTTAAAATTCATCCCCACCACCACCACCACCACCACCGCCACCGCTACCATTTCCATTTTACCTTTCCCACATCGCCCGGACTCCATTTGAGTAAACGGACACTCAAAGGAAAGTAATAATACACAACGTTAAAAAATTTTTTCATTTTTTTTGTTTTTTATAAATGAAGGCAAGAGAAAGAGAGAGAAAGACAGAGAAAGAAGAGAGAGAGAGAGAGAGAGAGAGAGAGAGAGAGAGAGAGAGAGAGAGAGAGAGAGAGAGAGAGAGAGAAAGACGACACAATTAAAATTTAAAATATTTTATTATTATAATATATATTTATATCTATTAATGTGCGAACAATATGAAAAATATATTGTAATTATCATAACAAAAATAATTTTAATAAATAAATTCAAACCCATTATTATTATTATTACAATTAAATCGTTTCAAATTTTTTTTTTTTTTGAAATTTTAAAATAAAATTTTAATTTTTTTTTTTTTCATCGGTAGCATCAGCAAAAGAAGCGACAGCAGTCAAACAATTATCAATAATAATAATAATATTTACTATAAAACTTTAATTAATAGATATGATCGAGGGGATTAACAATAACGGTTTTTTTTTTTTTACGTAAAAAGGCGGAAAATGAGTTCGTTCGTCGGCCGGATAAAATTGTTTTTATCCCTTCCCCCTCTTCTCCCCTCCCCTCCCTTCCCACTTTTTTATAAATAAATGTCGTGATTTCAAAGCTTTAAAAGTTACCACAACTCACGGTAGAAAAAATAATATTTTCATCAGTCGTAGCGAAACTAGATAAATCGATATATCGATCGATCGATCGATAAATACAACGAAACATCAATCGATATTTTTTTAAGATTAATTAAAATGTTCTAATATTTAAAATAAAATTTATTAAAATTTTTTTAATTTGTAGTTTATTTTTAATTTAAAATCAAATTTTTTCATTTTCCCGCCTTTTTTTTTTTTTAAATGTGATTTAAAATCAGAAGACAGACCAAAGTGAGCTGATAATCCGTGATAAAATTTAAATTGTGATAAAAAATGAAACGTTTTGCTACAAATCCAAACGGTTTTTTTAAATTTTTTTGCTACGGTTAATAACTTTGTGTGATTCCTACTAAATCCGAATTTTAAAAAACCATAATTTTTATTATTATTATTATTTTTTTAAAATATTTGTAACTTTTTTTTTAACGACTACAACTATCCGACATTTTGTCGATATTAATCGATAAAATATAAGAAGAGCGGAAAAAAAGGAAATCGAAAGAAATAATTTTAAAAATAAATTCCTCCTCCTCCTACTCCTCCTTTGAACCTCCTCGTTCAACATTCAAGTTGCTCAAATTTGTTTTTTTTTTATCGGGTCGGCCATATTAAATATACAAACGACACAAAGAGCAGCAGCATCATCAGCAACAGCAGTAGTAGTAGCAGCACCAACAGTAACAAAAAAATGAAAATTCATAGTGAAAAAAATTTAAGAAAAGCTTGGGGAGGTATCGGAATGTGTAAGGAACTTTTATCAACATCTTCTAACTTTTCCTGGAATCCTGGATTTTGATCTGCGATGCAAGGATGTCCTATGCTTTTCCAGAACAAACAATTACAATTTCTACACAATTGAATCATTTCCGCATATTCTTCTCTCAAACCGTAAGACCTAAAAAAAAATTATTAAAACCTTTCAAATGACGTGGACGTAGTTAACGCCGACGGCGACGACGACGACGAGGATTTCAATCGTGCCACGATATTTCTTTTTTTGTTAATTCAAACGACTCACTTTCTTAACTTGTGATAAATATTTTGCCAATTTTTTTGACCTCCTTCCACGTCATTTTTCCCATCCCGCTCCACCGTTGTTCCCGTTTCGAGTGAATTTATTTGCTGTTGAGTAAAATGAAATTGACAAAGTTCTCTCCAAATCCTTTGTTCGTTCACGAGTTTCGACATGACCGAATACGCTTTTCTAGAACTTTCCAAATCTTTGTGATCCGCTAATCTTAATAATATTTCACGTATGCATTCCTCCGGTAGATTTTCTATTTTTGGATAAACGTCATCACCGGGCTGTGGAAAGGAAGCAAAAAAAAAAAAAAAAAAAAAAACCCCTCCAAAATTATCATCAACATCATCATCATCATCATCATTATTTCATCGTGCGTCTCACCTCGTTTATAACGATACCGTTTGCTATGGTCAATATTCTATTGATGGTTCTCAAATGAGATTCCCAAAGGAGTGTGCTTCCGAGTGGTCTTCCCCAACATGCGCAATCTATCATGACCCTGAGTTGATTTAACAATTTATTCAACATGTGAATATTTTGCTGACTTATCGACACCTGATACGCGACCTCTTCCAACATGTTGAACAAAACCTTTTGCGCGCATCCTGATAACATGCTCAACTTGTGCGTTATCAAGAGGTCTAAAAGTTTACAAATGTAATTGAAACGACGAACGTCGTGAACGGCGTTCCTGTTTTAAATTAACAACAACGAAAATTAAATTAATATTATTGGAACGACGTCATTTTGTTTTCTTCGTTTATATTGGCCAACCTGAAATCGAGTCTTTTGAACGCATCCGATAAACCGTTAAATCCTGCTATTTCTCTCGTACATTTAATTACTACTTGACAATGAGGTTGTATAACTCTTACTAAATTCTCTTGATCGTCTACTAATTCCATGTTTTCTTTGTTGCATTCGTCGTAAACGACGACGTCTACGTCATCGACGTCGACGACGACGTCATTTTCGTCGTACCTTAAAATAAAACAATTTATTTAAATATTCGTAACTTTTGTCTTGTAATAAAAAATTATTAAAAAAAAAAAAAAAAATTACCAACGACTAGAAGAAACTCTTTGGATTTTAATTTTTCTTTCATCTCTTTCGTAATTTCCAATCGATGGAATTCTGTAAAGAAAAAAAATTAAATTCATTATTATTATTATTATTATTATTATTATGAAATCAAGAGTGGGTGGATGCATTTGGTATACGATTTCTTTGACTTTATCCAGCATGTCGACCATTTTACCGCCTTGGGAGGAGAAGGGAGGAGGAATCTTCCGGAAGTACTTTTATATTTTTCCACCGTTACGAAACCGGTTTCGTCATTCGCAATCAGTCAAGGGTTACTACTAATACTAATATTATTATTATTATCATTATTATTCACTAAAAGACCTCTTATCATTTATGAACAAAATCCTTTATTAAGTTAATTTAATAATAATAATAAAAAAAGAAAGGAAAAAAAGAATAAGAAAGTGGAAAGCAAATAAGTATGAAAAAATAAAATCGATAATAATAATAATAATAATTTTAATGAAACATAACCGGATGTGCGATTACGTCACTTACGAATAAACGAAAAATAATTTTTATATTTTCTATGAGAGAAAACTTAGTGTAAAATAATTAACAAATATGGAAAACATAATGATAACAGATAAGAAAAAGTGAGCAATTTAAAAAAGTTTTACTAATTACGTTTTTTTTTTCTAATGCCACGATTTTCTTTCTTTTTTTGTATATCCCGTATATTCTTTCACGTAATTGTTTGACCTCGTTTCCGCTTCTTTTCCCCCCCTCTCTCTCTCTCTCACTCTTTATTTTAAATATATATAAATTTAGAACTCTTCGAGAAATTTTTAAATTTAAAAGTTTTTAAGAAAAAGAGAAGGAGAAAGAAAGAGAAGGAGAAAGAAAGAGAAGGAGAGAGAGAGAGAAACAAGGAAATTTAAACGAAAAGCAACAAGATTATTACGCGTTTCAGATATATTTATATAAAAAAAAAGAAAGTTTTCTTTTTCTTTACACTAAGTATTATTAATAATAATAATAAAAAGCATATTTAAAAAAAAAAAAAATCATTCAATCAATTAACCGGAAATTAAATTTCAATTTTTCCCCGCGTTTTCAATTTTAAAAAAAATAGTAATAATAATAATAATAATCGAAAATAATTTTTTTATTTAATTTTTTCCAAAAGTTTTCATTTCGAATTTTTTTTTTTTTTTTGCGGGGAGAAAGGGGACCGGGACCGTACCGTGAAATTTTTAAATAAATTTAAATTTTTATTTTTTTTTTTTCTTTCTCGTCTGATTTGATAGTGATAAAAGATGGATAAGATAACGAGAGAGAGAGAGAGAGAGAGAGAGGGGGGGGGGGAAGAGAAAGAAAATGAAACGATGTGTGTACAAACAAAAAAATTAATTTTTTTTTTTTTTTTTTTTTTACGTTTTATCGAGCCAGACTCCATTTTTTTAAATGTGCAAAATTAATTGAAAATGAAAAACAAATTTTATTGTTTCGACGTAATTAGTTGGAAAGAACAAAAAAAAAAAAAAAAAAAGTTTCTGGTCATTAAATTCAATATAAGAAGAATGAATTTAGGTCGCAATTACGTGAAACAATAAAATTTTATTTAAAAAAAATAAAATTCATGCAATTCTATTAATAATATTATACATAAATAAATTTATTCGAATTAAATAAAAAAATTATCGGATCGATAATGCCAAAAAAAAAAAAAATAATAATAATAATAATAATAAAATAAAACAAAGGACTTTGACATTTAAAAGTAAACTAATTTCACATCAAATTTAATTTTAATTATTTAAATATTGAATTGAAAAATAAATTAAATAATATTAATAATAAATAATAATTAAACGTTTAAATTAATATATATATATATATTTATAAAAGCAAATTACAAACGTTGAAAAAAATAAAAATAAATAAATAAATAATCGATCAGCTGAGAGGATAAACAAACGAATGACTTACCTAGTATTTGTATTTTCCGTTTGAGAAAGTAACAAATGTCGTCCGCATTCTAATATTTTTTTCTTTTCCCAACCTTCTCGGGTTTTAACCCATTCTTCCCCAGGAGAACGCCAATCTTTTGATATAAATGGCATTGTCACACATACGAAATTTTTTCCCTTCACGATGAGAGACAAAAAAAAAAAAAAAAAAAAAAAAAAAAAAGAACGAAAGTTGGTACGGAATATATTAAAAAAAAAATACTTTACATTACGTAAATACTGTGTTGCAAAACAAAGAACTCGATCATGCGCACAAATCGTTTACAATTTCGACCAATAGGAAATCGTCAATTTTTACACTGCCTCCTGTATTCAATAAATTGCATACTCTGCAAATCGACTTAAATACTTTTTGCAATTCATGTATTTTTCATTTTTTTTTTTTTTCATAATTAAACATTTATAAATGTTAAAAATAAAATTTAAAAAATTAAAATTATTTATTTTAATTATTTTCATCGACAACCCGTGCGATATTACGACGATTATTTAATTTGATTTAATTTTTTTTAATGTTTTTATTTTGACTAACCGAGTTTCCGGTAATGTCTGCTTTTTAAATTTACTCAAGACTTTGTTAAATAGTAACATGATAAGTATCATTCGTTAAGATAATATTTTCCGTTGTATTAAATCTCGATATATATACGTTACTCAGTAAAATAAGGTGCAAGACATTTTGTTTCTTTATACTGTCTCGAGATCATTAGAAAACTAAATCAAGTGTGAATCAAATATCGTTAGGTAATTATTTGTAAATTTTTAGGTTATTAAAATATATGTTTAAATCTTGAATTTCGTTTTTATATATATATATATTGTAAAATAATTAAACTTCATGCAATACTCATGAAACTGACTAATTACGTTTTTAATTATCAATTTTTAACATTTCAGATACTGAGAAAGATATGTCTGATAAAAAGTACATGCCTTTGGCTGATTTTGAAAACGATGAAAAATTAAAAACTGCTAAAGTGTATAAAAAATTAGTCGAAGAAAAAAATTTCAACAGGTCAATCATCGGTAGGAAATTATTGTACAGAAAGAGAGCTTTCTTAGCCGGATCCTTTGCATTGGTTTTATCAATATACTCATTTTCAATATATAAAATAAGACAAGAGACATTTTTGGATGATTTCGAAGAGCCACCTAGAATTTTAAAATCATAATATACATACATATTAGAGCACACATTTTATTAGTTTGTCAATAACCATGTCTGTAACCATTTCACCCTTACCGACAATTAGAGAGCTTCTTAAATTATATCAAGTTCACGCATTGAAAAGATTATCTCAAAATTTCCTATTAAATTTAAGAATCACTGATAGAATTGTTAAAGCAGCTGGAAAAATAAAAGATGGAGAAGTTTGCGAAGTGGGACCAGGTCCAGGTGCCATAACGAGATCAATACTAATGAGAAATCCTCAAAAAGTTGTAGTCATTGAAAAAGATCAAAGATTCGAACCAATGCTTGAGGTAATAATTACATTTCCTACCCCTCCCCTCCCACCCCACCCCCGCTTACATAATAATAATGATAATGATAAAGTTTTACTGGTAATATAAAATTTCAGAATTTGGAAACGAGTAGTTATTGTGATTTTAAAATCATTTATGCCGACATTATGGATTACGATCTGAGTAAATTATTCGACGAATCGTTAAAAAAAAATTGGAATGACGTCACACCAAATATTCACTTAATAGGTAATTTACCATTTAATGTATCGACACCGTTAATCGTAAGATGGTTGAATGACATATCACTGAGGTAACTATTACCGTAATAAATAATCATGGAGTTATGTATCGAAAGACAAACAGTTGTATAAGAGTAGGAAACAAAAAGGGAAAAGGGATAAAAGTGTAATTTATATTCCTTTAGGAGAAACGCTTGGTCACTCGGAAGAGTCAAAATGACTTTGACGTTTCAAGAAGAGGTTGCCGAAAGGATAATCGGGATTCCGGGAAGTAAAAATCGATGTCGTTTGTCGGTCATGTGTCAAAATTGGTGCGACGTACATTTAAAATTCAAAATACCCGGAACGGCTTTTCTTCCCAAGCCGAAAGTCGACGTCGGCGTCGTACATTTCGAACCTTTGATCGAACCTTTTATTAAAATGGATTTTGAAATCGTTGAAAAAGTTTTGAGAATAATGTTCAACTACCGACAGAAATATTGCAATCGAGCCGTGGCGTAAGAAGAATTTTTTTTAAATTTTTTTCTTCTTTTATCCTCGCGGCAAAAACGAATGTAAAGGGCGGCGGTGGCGGCTGCGGCGACGGTTAAAGAAGAAAAATTATTATTATTATTATTTTTTTTTCTACTTACTACGCATTCGATTGGATTTTTTTTTTTTTTCTTTTCATTCCAGAAATTTATTCCCGAAAGAATTGTCGGATAAATTATCCGTTGAATTATTTCAACGTTCGGAATTAAATCCGAAATTAAGATCCTATCAAATGACGATGGACGATTGGAACAGGCTTTGTCTCGCTTATAAATTCATTTGCGACAGAGATCCGAGATTGTATTCTTACGATCATAGGGGACCTAAAAATTCGAGAGAATTCAATTGGAAAAATTCCGTCATCGATGATGATGATAATGATGAAGAAGAAGGTGATGATGTCGATGACGACGACAAAGAGGAAGAGGATAGAAAAAAAGAAAAGATTCGGGGTCGGTGGAAACGGAAATACACGACGATGTCTTAGTTTAGTTAATAAAAAAAAAAAAATTTTAAAGTGATTCTTATTTTTAAACGAAATAATAATAATAATAATAATAATAATAATGATAATAATGATGATGATGATGATGATTTTTAGTTACCGTTTAGCGTAATTATTTCAGATTAAAATAAATTTTTTTTTTTACGAGAATTGTTAGAAGAATTTGATTTCGTTTTGGTTTTTTGCTTTTCTATCCTTCTTTTTGTTCATAATGATTACGATAATAATTTTATTATCATTATTATTACTATTATGGTTGTTATTGTTGTTGTTGTCGTCATTGTTGTGATTTCCCGTGATACTCCCGTCAAAGTTTTCTCAGCATTCATTTTCCACAGGATTTTCCAGACACACACACACCCAGATTCATTTCCGATTCCTTTGAATTAAATGCTCTTATTATTATTATTATTGTTATTAAAATTATGCGATACGATTATGATAATGATAATGTTTAATTATTTTTAAAAAAAAAAAAAAATCACTTTCAATTTAAATAATAAATCGGAAAATTTTTTTTTTTTATTTTTTTTCCCCAAAAGAATTCGTCGGAATTTTAATGATAATAATAATAGTAATAATAATGATTATTATCATTTTATAATTTACGGTTAGTTTAATTACACTAATGCCACGTTTTACTAAATGTAAGAATAGGTAGTAACGAGAGAGAGAAAGAGAGGGAAGGGAAGGGAGGGGGAAAGGTTCAGTAGAAAAAGGAAAAAAAATTTTAAAGAATGATAAATATTAATGATAATGATGATAATCATAATAATAGTAATAATAATGATGATGATGATAATTTTTTTTTCCTTTTTTATTATTATTATTATCATAATAAATATTAACCTGAATCCACGTTTGTGAAATTCTCTTCGTTTTTCCTCATTTTCTCCTTTTCCTCTTCTTCTTTTTCTTTTTCTTGTTCCTTTTTCATCCTTTCTTTTTTCTTTAGGACTCCCCTGTGTTTTTTACTTTCCACGTGACTTTCCCATTGTAATTTTCCAACGAATATCCTGTCGCAAACTTGACAGTGGTAACTTTTATCGATGGAAATTTTTTCATTTTCCATCGGGAGAGGTTTTATCGCGGATTTTCTACCCGCCAAATGACACTCGACGATGTCCGAAGCTTTTTCCAAAACGTTTTCGTTCCATTTTGACAAATCCGTCGCGTCGAGTCCGTATATGGGCGGTACCTGTACGTTGTCACCAACACCGTCATCATCGCCATCACCATCATCATTACGATAAAAAAGAAAAAAACTAACATACCTGTCTTCGAGCATTTTTCAAAAATCTATTTCTTATCCATCTTCTCTGTCTCGTCGCGTATTGTTTTGTCGCAATTTTTAAAAGTTCGACACCGTTTTCGAATAATTTTTTACCATTTTCACTTTTTCTACCGTCTTCGTCGAGCAAAAGATAATCTTTGAATTCTTTAAATCCTATCGTTTGAAGTATTCCCCTAGTGTAGTCATTCGAACTGGAAAACAAACAAACAAACAAACAAAAATTATATAAATATATATAATCATTGACGTATCAAATCAAATGACAAAAACAATCGTCAAACGAGAAAATGGACGAACGAACGGAGAGACAAACAAACAAACAAACGAACAAACGGAATCACTCATTCATTTTTTTTTTTTTTTTTAATGAAAAAGTTTTGATAATTTTCATATGTCGCTCAAACGAACAACGTTCTCTCTCTCTCTCTCTCTTTATCGTCTTACCTTCCCCCTGCATTCCCTTTTCCCCTACCCCCAAACTCCCTCTTTCCCTTCCACCCTTTTTTTTTATCCTTCTCAACTCTTTCCGCTTCCCATACAAAATCCTATTACGCAACGAAACGTTTGTGCGTGTGTGTGACGTCAGTTGTTGCTTTTTTCATTTCGAATTAAATCCAATCGCGGATTGATTGAATTCGATGAATGAATGAATGATTGAATGATTGAATGATCGAATTATGGGATTTTTTAAAAAAAGTGCGTTCATATCCGCCATTTTAATCCGTCTTTAACTTTTATTAAAAAAAAAAAAAAAATATTTTTAAATTTTCTTCCTTCGGGATTCATTTCCGACTTTCTCCCTCTCTCTCACTCATTTTTTCCCCCTCCCATTTGTTGTCGTCTTCGTCTGAGGTCAACAGGTAAAATTATTTATGACCTTTTCCCTTCTTTCCTTCCTTTCTTCCTACCTTCCTTCCATAAATCAAAATTATTAAATTAATGGTGATAAAAAAGGACAGACAACACAAACGGACTCTAATGAGAGAGAAAGAGATAGAGAGAGGGAAGGAGGGAGGAAGGAAAAGATTTTTAAAAAAAAAATTATATATTTTGACACCTGAACACATACCTGAACTTGATACGCTAATTAACTCTCACGACAAGTTGTTACATAAAAAAAAGAAAAAAAAAATTTTTTTTTTTTTTTTTTTTCAACAGTTGGCATTTCCTTTCCATAATAATAATTTCACTAATTGATTAGTTGAGTGGGTAGGCGCGGCGCGGCGCAGCGCGGCGCTCACCTCATTAATTTTTTTTTTTTTTTTATAACAATTAGCAAGTTAGGGAAATCCTAACTCGTAGCAGACGAAAACGATTAGTTTTAGTTACCGGAAGTTAAATTTTTTCCCGCGCTTTTTGAAAATCAATTTTAAGAATCCACGTTCACTTTTTGCAAACCGCCAACCTTCGACCGAACTATTTTTTTTCTTTCTAATAATAATTTTAAAGAAAAAATTCAGTTTTTTTTTTTTTTTTTTAATTTCCACGACGACGACGACGATAATAATAATAATGATAATAATAATGATAATGGTAATAAAACTAAATAATTATTTTTAAAAAAAAAAAAATTAAATGAATCATGATTAACCTCTCCGACCAATTAGACTTTAATTTATGAAATTTTAATTATAACGAAATCCGCCGTTCCGCCGACGACGCCGCCACCACCACCACCACCATCACCAACGCAGACGTTACGCCGCGTACCTTTAAACTTGTTTTTTTTTAAATAATAATAATAATAATAAATTAACTTTATACAAAAAAAAATAGAAAAAAAAAAAAAAAAGATTTATTTGCAATCCTGTACTTGTGTTCGTTTGTACGAATACGTTCGTAACACACGAATTAAAAAAACTTATTTTATAATAATAATGATAATGATGATAATAATAATAGAAAAATTTTACATTTTTTTCACGTCGGGTCATCTTTTAAAAAGTAAAAATTTTTTTTTTGGAGAACGGGAGAGAAAGAAAGGAAGCGAAAGAAAAGCAAAAAAAAAAAAAAAATCTTTTTTTGGTCACAATCTCGATAGGATCGCATAAAATAAATCATCATCATCATTATCATCATCTCTTCGCAAGAACAACAACAACAAACAACAAAAAAGAGAAAAAATTTAAAGAATTCCAAAAAAAAAAAAAAAATCAGGTTTTCTTTTTCGAAAAAAAAAATTCCGAGAATTTTAGCAGACTGAATGGCCACCGAACCTGCCAAAGGCCAAATTCAATTCAATTCAATTCAAAAACCTGAAAAACCTTTTAAACATTTAATTATTATTATTATTATTATTATTATTATCGTCCTCGTCGTTATTGAAAAAAAAAAAAAAAAAAACTTTCACGCGAAACGTTTAATAAAATCAATTTCCTTTTTTTTGCTTTTTTTTTCTTCTCTTCTTTTCTACCTGGAAATTTTTCAAACGACTCTCCAACCGTCCCGTACCTCTCTCCAGTGTTTTTGGAATTTAAAAATTTCGACACGAAAGAAGGTAGGAAAGGTAGGAGGAGATTGGGAGGATGAGGGGAGGGGAGGGAAAAAATAATTTTTGATAAGTGATAAAGAAAAACGTGGGGGTGGTGACTCCTCGAACACCCTCCTACCCTAATAACTTGCATCGGGGTGAGATTTGTGGGAGGGAGGGGCGTAGGTCCAGGTTTTCTCTTTTACAACCACAATAATAATGATAATAATAATAACGATTATGATAATGATTACGACGATAATGAAAAGAAATTATTTAATCGTTCGACTTGGCTGACCATCAATTTAAAAATAAATCCTCTCTCTTTCCCTTTCCCTCTCCCTCTCTCTCTCTCTCGCTCTCATTAACCTTTATTACAATAAAATTATTAATATTATTATTAAACATAATACTAATTATCATGATTATTATTATTATTTCTATTTTTAAAAAAATTAACAAAACAGGTTTTTTTTTTTTTGGTAAATCGGGGAAACAACAACGAATTAAAAATTCCAGGTCTGAGGAAAATCAGTCGGTCGTGCCATTTTTTTTTTTTTCTTTTCCTTTTCCTTTCCTTTATCGTTTAAAATTAATTACGACACGAAAATAAAACGAAAGGAAAATCAAGAACGCGTGACAGGTACACATAAAAAAAAAAAGAAGGAGGAGGTGGAAGCTTCGAGAACGTTCGGCGACAACAGGAGCAGGAGCAGCAGACGAGCGACAGGAGAATATCAGTATTCGTTACACGTCTATTCGAAAAACCTTTTTCACCACCGCCATTACCGATAATCGATCGTGTCAATAGAAAAAAAAAAAACCTTTTACGATAATTTCGAACGAATAAACCAATTCGAGGGGGGGCGAGAGAAAGGAAGAGGGAAAGGGAAAAGGAAATGAATGATGATGATTCAAGTTTGAACAATTTTAATAAAAATAAAATTTTACTTTTTTTTTTTATTCTCATTCGAAACGAGAACCATTTCAAACCTGATTTGATTTTATATAAACTCGTCGCGTACGACAAAAATCCGCCATTTTTATTTTCTCATTCTCCCAATTTAAAATTTTTTTTTATTTTTTTATTTTTGAAATGGAAAATTTTATCATAATAATAATAATAATAATAATAATAATAATAATAATTTATTATCATAATTTAAATAATTATTCTTATTCTCGTACCACGATGAAACGCGAAAATAAAAAAAAAATAAAAAAAAAAAAAAAAGCCCCCCAACAAAAAATCGGATTTCGTTCCGCAAAAGATTCGAATTTGAGATAAAAAAAAAAAAAAAAAAATTTTTTTTATTTTTAAAATTTAATTTAATAAATTTCGATTCATCGAAATTCTCGACCGGAAATCTCGAACAATAAAAAAAAAAAAAAAAAAATTATAAATTATAAAATTAAACGAGTTTATTTCAGTTCCCTTTTTTAAATAATTAATTAATTAATTAATTAATTAAAATTAATGAAAATCATTAGAAACCCACTACCGATGACGACGACGACGACGAAAAAATCCAAAAATTTTTTTCTAATGACACGAAAAATAATTTCCACGATGAAATCGATTCAAATCCCTTCCTTCCTCCCTCCCTTTCCGGTTTATATTTCGGTGCAACTTTTCCGAAGAAATTTCAAAAGTTTTTCTCGAAACCTTTTCAAATCCCTTTTTGAAATTATTTCCCTTCGTGTCCGCAGGAGAAGAGAGAAAAAGACAGACAGAAAAGGTTCTTCTTCGTTCACGACAAAAAGAATTAAAAAAAAAAGGTTCGTTCGTTTGTTCGTATACGAATCTCCGATCCCATCATAAAAATGTAAAAAAAAGGATTTTGATCAACAGGTTGCCGACCTTTCCCATCTCAAAAATCTCGAAAAGTTTTCCTTCCTTCCTTCCTTCCATCCATCCTTCCCTTTCCTTTTCCCTTTTTGCTCCCGATCGTTATATAAACACTAAAAATTTTCTTGCGTATTTCCCCCCCTTCCCCCTTATTCCCCTCTTCCTCCCTCCTTTCCTTCCTTTCCTTCCCTTTAAAAAAATTTGAATAAACGGTTAACTAATTTCAAATTGTTTCGCGCCAAAAAACAAACCAAACAAACACAAACATTACTAAATAATAATGATAATGACTCGTTCAAATAAGTCATTCAATTTACAAAAAAAAAAAAGTTTGAATTAAGGATTTAAGATTGATGACGTTGCAAAAAAAAAAAAAAAAAAAAATTCCGATTGATTAAAGACACGACGGAAAAAAAACCCGCGTAAATACTTAAATTTAAATTTCCCACCCGTACGTTCATTCGCAAACAAACAAACGAAAATTCGCGCCATTTTTCCGGGTTTTTTTTCTTTTTGTTCATATAAAAGTTTCATTCTATCTCTCTCTCACACACACATGCGTGCTCGCATTCCTATTTTCCATCTCTCTCTCTCTCCCTCTCCCCTCCTCTCTGAAAATGTTCAAAGTTTTTTCTCTTTTTTAATGATTCGAACGGAAGTTTTTCAAACAATAAATTTTTTTTTTTTTTTTTTTTTTTCGAGGACTAACAAACACAAACAAACACACACTCTAACTCACACAACAACAACAACCATTAGGCTAAGTCAAGGTGAAGCATCTGTTTCTTGCCCAGGTGAGTTCTTTAGCCCGATCCAAGGTAAAAATAATAATAATAATAATAAAATAAATGTTGAAAAAAAAAAAAAAAATTTGCCGTTTATTCATTTATTTATTTATTTATTTTAACTTTTTTTTTCAACGTTATCATTATCATTTTCGCGCCAATTTTTCAAGTGCGAAAAAAAATTAAATAAATAAATAAAAGTGCGCGATTGTGAACGTTTTGAAATTGTGCGTGTGGTGGGAAAGAGAGAGACAGACAGAGAGAAAGACAGAGATAGACAGAGAGAGAGAGAAAGAGAGAGACAAAACGTAAAAGAGTGAGAGAGAGAGAGAGAGATATGGGAAGGAATAAGGAGATTCTGAAAAAAGGCGAATGAAAGAAAACCGTATTTTTTTTTTTAGCGATTAACGGTTGTTTTTGTTTTTGTTTTTGGTTGTCGTCGATAAGTCAGTCAGACATTTTTTAAAATTACGAATTCAAAAAGGCGGATCCCCCATA